ACTAAATTCTACAACATACATGGTGACTAGGTTCTACAACATACATGGTACTAGGTTCTACAACATACATGGTACTAGGTTTGCTGGGTTAGACTTCTTCTTTTGAGGCAGTGGAACTGGAAGACGAATTAATCCACTTCTAATTCTATGATATGTGGGTTCTTTGATTTTAGTACAATTGATTGTAGTAAGATTGTTTTCTCATGGTATGGGATCGTAGGACAGACGTCGACGCCTAGGCCAGTCTTTGTTTTACACACACCAACTGTAACTCCTAGTCTCCACCAGACTCCTTCCTTTGCAGGCTGAATAAATAGTAGAAATCGGCTATGGGGAACATCATTGGCTAGGGGAGTTGGTCGGCCATAGAGGGTCCAGCTTTAGCCTCCTGTGCAGGCCCCCTCGGCGGTGGAAAAGAGTTTTTAACGCGTTATTTTAATATAGCCGGCCACCCGGAAAGCAACCTTCTCTCGGCGGCTATGTAGGGTGGCCGGCTATATTAAAATAACGCGTTAAAAACTCTTTTCCACCGCCGAGGGGGCCTGCACAGGAGGCTAGTCCAGCTTGCCTGCCGGACCCGTCACACTTGACAAGCAAAGCAATAAACGGCTTACTCTGGCACTTCGCACCTATTTAAAACCCATTTGTGGACATAAAAGAAGATAGCGACTTCTCACAGACTCCGGCCACGGTGCTCCGGCATGCAAGCTGGACCCTCTATGGCCGGCCAACTCCTCTGGCCAATAATGTTCCCTTAGCCGATTTCTAATATTTATTCAGCCTGCAGAGGAGTCTGGTGGAGACTAGTCTATGTGACTCCCACTGCCCGCCACTCTGTTCATTGTGGACCTTGGTGACCCGTTGCCACCTGGCATTGACATGACTTTCCGCTTTTCACGTGCGTACTTCTTGTGCCGAGCAGGACGCCAAGACGGTTTGGACGTAGCAATGTACTAGTCGCTACGACCGGTACCATGAATTTCCTGCCTAATATCTTCCGCAATCGTAGGGGCTAGTAAATATACATATAGTGTCCGTTAGTCCGTTAGCCTGTCTATAGCAGGCTTCGTCATGATGACAGGCTACTAAATTTGGCACCGATATCGTTTTCTTGTTAATCAAGAAAAGATATCGAAGCCAAAGTATATATAGCTTATCATAAATGTGCTGCGTTGTGATTGAATGTTTTCTGGTTGCTACCGACAGAAATAGAAACTCAGTAGCGACCAGGATAACTGATATACTAGTAGAACGTACTCTCCAAGCAGAGGTTTGGGTTTGGGGGGTATTTTTAGCGTGTTTTTAGACTTTTTTATCTGGGTTTCTCTTTTGCACTGAATTTTTTTCCCACCAAACCCAACAGTGCAAAAGAGAAACCCAGATAAAAAAGTCTAAAAACACGCTAAAAATACCCCCAAAACCCAAACCTCTGCTTGGAGAGTAGCAATTAGCGTCCATAGGCGACAATTCCCCGTGAAGTTTTATACTTTGCAGATTGAGAACAGTATAGTGTGTGTAAACAGTGTGTGATCACTTTAACAACTGGTAACAACGTATCGTAGAAATGGCTAAGGCCTAAATCCCTAATAATCTGATATGCTCCGGCGACCCCGCCGTGCCCATGGCCCAGTGGCCGTGCCCAGTCGGACGCTGCGCGCTCTGGTATGTACAGGTTCAGCTTTTTCTCACTTCTTAGGACAGATGTAAGTGTAATTAATGCCAACCAGTTTGGAAGCTTATTCAAGCAACGTTTACAGGATACATTTCTAGTTGGCTGGTGGCAGGAAATAAGAAAATTCAATAAACTTCATACTTATTCTAAAATTAAAAAACATTTCGGCTTGGAAAAGTATCTATCATCAATTCAAAACGAATCTTTTACGACAAGCATAACTAAAATGAGGATAAGTTCACATGGCCTGGAAATCGAAAAGGGCCGTCATTATAACACACCAGCCGATCAGAGATTGTGTCCGACATGCAAGGAGGGTATTGAAGACGAATTCCACTTTATGATGTCATGTCCAACATATGAAGAAAACAGACAAACATTGATGCAATCCATAGCTTCCAAAACTAATGTTACGCTACCTCACTCAAAATCAGACATCTTTAATATACTCCTTTCATGTCCTACTCAGATATCAGTGTACGTTGGAAAATTCATATTCGAATCACTACAAAAGCGACACCAGATTGTAAATAGCTGATATATCCCCTGAATTACAGAATGTAATAATACTCTTCCTAAGAAAACACAATAGATTAGCTTTAGTATCATTATGGACTAGCTAGTTAGAATTATATCTTAGCATTAGTTGATGTATGTACCATTGTTGTTTCTTTGCCATACATTGTACCAGCTACAGTTGTTGAGCAATAAAGTTGATTTGATTTGATTTGATTTGTAAGAATGCGAAGGCGCGTGTGACCCCCCTTGCTTGGGGAAACAGCTGCAGACTGACTAGTCACCGTAAGCAAGGAGGTTAAATACAAGTATTTAACCTCCTTGTGTAAACACAAGCTACATAAAATCACGACAATCTAAGTAGATGAACAAAGTCAGGTTTCATAACAATATCTTTCATTTACTACATATCATTCATTTGACAAGGTATCGCAGTAGGTGCAAATGACAATCCCAAAAGATATTCGCAACCAGTATGCACAACAGCCACCTAATATCTGCTTAGAGAACCTCGGCTACCGGACAACTACCTAAACCTACGGCCTACTCCACAGGATTGTAAAAGTAGGGATGTTTCTAAAATATACATTTACTTCACTATAAAAACTGCTACGGTGAAAATAAAAGGATGTGCACCACCACGGACATAATGGCACACCACATGCCCAATTACACAGAAATGTTA